TGAAAACACATGGGAGTATACCAGTACTGTGGAACCCGATGGAAGCTGAAGTTATATGGATTAAAAAAGAATCTGCCTGTTTAAAATGATCTTTTACATATATAGAGCCTGCAACTTAGTATATTTGGACAAGTGATAATGACCTGGTTTTACAAACACAGACTGCTCAGGTAGAAAGTAGGCAGAAGTCTGGCTTCATCCTAGAAGGACAGAGCTTTAAAAATTGGGGAAAACAGAATTTAAAAAAGAGAACAACTCTGTGGACCAAGGAGATGAACAAAATGGCAATGCTGAAGTCATTACGACATTGTCTACCTTTTTTTTGTGCGTGATTTCTCATCTTCAATGTTTTTTCCCTTTTTCTTTCTTTTTTTGTTCTCTCTACAATAGGGAAGTTAAAGAACCGCCTTTCCATGTTTTCCTGTCTGCCTTTGGATGCGAACTCTGAAAGATTAGGACTTGGGACTGTATACTCTTTTACCTCAACTTGTATTTCAGTATGCTGTGAATCAAGGGCTCTCAGAAAAAAGACATTTAGTGAGTAAATTCAACTAACTCAGGGTTTAGTCCAGTAGAATAAGCACTTACTACTAAATCTCTACTCAGCACAAGGCATCGAAGCCCTAAGGAGACAACCAGGTGAAAAGCAAGTATATAAAAAAATAAACCATTATGAAACTTACTATTTCCCCCTATTTGCTTATCTGTCAAGAAACTCAAAGCTAACTTTGTTGTCAATTGCAATAACTGTTTTCAGCCCAGATTTTCTGTAATAATTCTCTTCTAATACAGTGACTAATTTTTTGTCCTTTTTAGAAGTGGGAAAACTATATATAACCAACTAAATAATTAAATAAATGGCTATAATTTGAGATAAAGTGAGTTAAAGTATGACGAGAAAAACAGCAAGGGTGCACCGAGAGGTCCTGGGAAGGAAGGATTCTGGAGAGGGAGGCGGGAGGTGAGCTTTCTGGGAAAAGGTCATTCCAGGCTCGGGGGACAAATGGGCAAAGGAATAGAGAGGGGAATGTGTCGGATATTTGGAAGAAAACAGTTCAGTTACAGGAAGGTGGAAACAGGACATGGGTCATTTTTCTCCATTAATTCTTGAAAACAAACAGATCCTTCTTTACTAAAAATCATAATGGTGTGTTGTCCACGTGTGTGAATCTACCAATAAGCAAGATAATAGTATGTTCATCTTACTCATTCATGAGATCAGCGACTTGGGATGACGTGATCCTGTAATCTCAGCACAGACACAACAAACAACAATAAATGGTGAAGAATGAATGAACGAATTTCATTCAGTGGACACTAAATAAATACTTTATGATTGTGGTCGTATAGGTCACTCAGGCTATCAGGCATTTTTGCTGTATGAATATTTAAGACACCATAATGGCCCTTGTATTGCCTGCTTTGTCTATTGAGCTGAAAGTAATTTGGGGGCCAGGATTTACCCTTTACACCTTAAAGGTGGAAAAATTGAAAAATTAAGAGGAAAATGATCTTGTGTAAGGATTACAGAACTTAAAGGCAGAGCTGGAGAAAAGGAAAGAAATGTCTCATCATATGTGCAAGGCAAATGCAAAGCAGACTCTGTGGGTTCATGCCAAATACTCAAAATTAGCAGAGCTAATCAAGTGAGAGTGCCAGACTCGTTATAAAGGAAAATCTGTAGTTTTTCCACCTGTGTAGGAAAAACCCAGTTCTTCCCTATTACGAGTTTCTTCCCCATGTGTCTCCTTTACTACTCACACAGAACTCTTCATTTCTGAAACTTCTGGTCACCAAATATGTGGAGGTTTTTCCCCACAACAAGCAGTTCTCTGTGACACCAGCTGTCCTACAGTTCAACTCAATTCTGACACTATGTACAGGAGATAGCATCAGATCCCACAGGTTAAGGGCTCAGTCCCACAGACTGCCCCCGCCCCCCAACACACACACACTTCAGACACCGGTCACAAGCCCAGGTTATCACTTGTGCTCCTCACCAACAGGCTGTATATCAGAAGTTCCAAAGACCCCTTCCCTGGGTTCGATTAATTTGCTGGAGCAGCTCATGGAACTTGGGGAAACACTTACTTAGACTTACTAGTTTATCAAAGGATACAGTAAAGGATACAGATGAACAGCCAGATGAAGAGATACACAGGGCGAGGTCTGGGAGGGTCCCACACCAGGAGACCCTGTCTCGTGGAGTAGGTGTGCTCCACCCTACTGGTGTGTGGATGTGTTCACCAGCCTGGAAGCTTCCCAAACCCCCCCATACTATTGGGATTTTATGGAGGTTTCCTCACATAGCCATGATCAATTGTTAACTCCATTTCCAGCCCCTCTCCCCTCTCTGGAGGATGAGGGGATGGAACTGAAAATGCCAAGCTTCTAATCATGGCTTGGTCTTTTGGTGACCAGCCCCCATCCAGAAGTCATCCAGGAGCCCACCCAGAGTGCCTCATTAGAACAAAAGATGCTCCCAGTGCTCTTATTACTAAGGAATTTACAAGGGTTTTAGGGGCCCTGTGTCAGAGACAGGTCAGAGACAAACATTAGAACAAGAGATGCTCCTACTGTTCTTATCACTTAGGAACTTAAAGGGGTTTAGGAGCTTTGTGCTAGGAACTAGGGGCAGAGACCTATATACATATATATATATTTTTTCTATTATCTCACACTAGTTTATCACAAAATTCTCCTTGCCCATATGACAAATTAAGCTTCTTTTTAGTACTATGTGATCAAGAGGAAGGAGAGTGCAGTAATACTGGAGACAAGCTGGTGGACTAACATGGGCATCTGTCTAGTCGGCTTTACATGGTTGCTCAGCTGCTGTAGTCCTACGATTTTCAAACTACAAGTCACAATCTATTAGATGGTCATGAAATCAACTAAGAAGTCACAATTAGTGTTTTTTTAAATGACATATGTAAATATATGTTTATCTGTCTATCTATATCACTTAATATCACTTAACTAATATTGTTTTCATGAAACTTTTGTTCTAGTTAATATCAGATATAAATATATAATGTATATTCTGGGCCAGATTGCAAGTGAGCCGCAGCCCCAGTCAAAAAAATTTGAAAGCCACTGCTGTACTCTCCCCCACTGTGAAGTCAGGCTTGGTGTCAATGGGACTGAACATCCAAAATGGAGCTTAACCAAGCAGTTTAAAAAAAATTAAAACTGACTACAAAGATTCTATTGCAATTTATTTAGGTAACTGCTTCAAGAGGCTACCTGTGCCATATCTATGATATTTCTATATCTAATATGGTAAGAGTTCATGAATGTGGGTAAGTATTTCTGCACAATTGTTCTAATATTCAATAAAAAATAAATGGTTTGGGTCAATGGTTCTCAACTTTTTCATTTCAAGACCCTTTTACACCATGAAAGATTCTTGAGGACTCCCTAAAAGAGCTGTTATTTGAGTTTTATCTATCTATATTCACCATACTGGAGACTAAAACTGATAACTTTAAAGAATATTCATTCATTTAAAAATAACAACATAAAGCAATTCAATGTAAATATAAATAACATATTTTATGTAAAATATATTTTTTCCAAAACAAAAAAATTTAGTGAGAAATTGGCATTAGTTTACATTTTTGCAAATCACTTTTTAGTGTCTGGCTTAGTAGAAGACAACTACATTCTCATAACTATAATCTATCGCTACATTTGTTTTGTTTGAATTTTATGAAGAAACTCTGGCCTCAAAAGATATGTAGTTGGAAAAGGGATGGATATTTTAATAGTTTTTTCAGATAGTTGTGGATATTCTTCTTTGATAATACATCAAAACTTGATAAGTAGTAGTTTCTCAAAGGTTGCCCATGCATGATTATGTAACATCAGAAATTGGTCATTTGGAAACTATTGGGTCACTGATTAAGCAGATCTTTCAAATGTTGACACTTTTCATTATGCAGTTATTTTTTAAAAATCATACTCATTAATATTACAATTGATCTCATCAGAAAAGACTAAGTATTGAGAAGCTGTCAAACTCATGGCAGTGGATGGATATATGTTTTCTAAACTTCTAATTCCTGTCTGAAATCTCACAACTTATCATTGGCAACAATAATTGTCCTTTGTTTTCCTGGAAGTAATAGGTACACGTTATTTTTGGAAAAATGTCTGTCAAATAGCTGTCTAAATAACTATAGTTTGTCCATCTTCCTTCAAGTAAAAACAGTGTCCCATGAAAATAAAAATAAAAACCCTAGTTCGGCTAGCAACCCAAGCACGGAAGGGTTTTCCTGGCGACAAATATGGCATTTAGGTATTTAGCACGCACGCTTTACGCATACTTTCTGTTTTTTCACACAGAATTTTGAAAGTGTGCCGAGGGTTGAACTTTAATAAAATTAATTAATTGTTACTGCTTTATCATGAATACTCTCAAGTGACACTGGCCCCTGCCTTGGTTCATGCTGAAACACCTACGCTTTTACCCCACCACTGTTTTTGCATTATTGGTGCAAAGGTCGACACAGTGAAAGAGGCAAATAAGTCTTAGCATCGTCACGAAAATGGTTTTGACCTGGCAGACCCCCTGAAAGGGTCTCAGGAACCCCCAGGGGTTCGAGCACCACACTTTGAGAACCGCTGGGCGTTAGTGCATACAGAAATAACAGTTCTCTCTCTTCAGTTATTAATGTTTGAGGCTTATTTATTATTACGGGTTTGATCACGGAGCGCCAAAACAAAGACGTGCCAAGGCGTAGAATACATCCAATCGCACGTGCAGCTCAAACACTCACACGGGAAGGCAGAAGCTCCTGGGGGAAAAGGGACGCGGACCGCAAGCCTGGGCTTTTGGTTGCCAGTGGCAACGATCGTCGGCTGGAGGGAGCGCGGCCACCGATTAGTACTGTCTTGCGCCCGCCGCGGGACGAGAGGGCGGGGCAGGGCTGGAGGAGGGCGTCCCGCGACTGTTCTCCGGCTGCGAGGGGGCTCGCTCGTTCTGCGATCAATTGAGAGTGGCTGCCGAGCGCCCTGTGTTGCTGTCGGGGAGGGAGGGAAGATGGCGGCCGTGGCGGCGGGCGGCCTGGTGGGGAAGGGGCGCGACATCAGCCTAGCGGCCCTGCAGCGCCACGACCCCTATATCAACCGCATCGTGGACGTGGCCAGCCAGGTGGCTCTGTACACTTTCGGCCATCGGGCTAACGAGTGGGTGCGTGTGGATGCGACGGGCCGCGCAGGCGGCGCCGGGCGGGGCGGGGCAGGGGTCGTCCGACTCGGGCCTGGAGAGCCCGGCCAGGGGAGGGGGCGCCGGCGGCCTGGCGGCGGACGGAGGCCGAGTTGCGGAATTGGACCCCGGGGCCGAGGTTTGGGGGAGAGGGAGGCCGACCTGGGAACCCGCCTGAAGTTGGGGAAAGACTTAAATATTCAAGAGCCCCGCGTTGGGAGAGTGGCCCGATCGGGGCGGGACGCGGGGAGCGGGGCCGCGGCGCTGACGGGCTCGGCGGGGCGGCCGGAGGACGGCGGTTCTGCTCTGCACCGTCAGTCCTAGACGGGACGGAGAGACAGCCGCCCTCGAAAGAGGGGAAGCTGGAGTTTGAGCTCAGGGACACACCAAGAAAGAGCAAACGTCGGGAAAGGAAACCCTGGGTCTCACGCTTAGAAGGAGCCTGACGCTCTTTGGAAAGATGATTACACCGCAGCCCACCGAGACCAAAATAAGTTTGATATTTGAGTCCATTTGGGAGCCGAGTTATTTTAGTGCTCCTCTCAAAGCAGAAGGCCAATAAATAGCAGTGGAATGAAATTTAATTTTCCTCACAGTTAGAATCGGCTAGGAGCATTAAGACGCTGGAGTCCTATTGCAGGAATTGCTACTTGCGATTTTGTGACCCTCCCACTTGAATGTAGAAAGATGTAATTTTTTTCTCTTTTCCTCGTAGTGATTTTTGCCCCAGATAATATTAATCTATCTTTTGTGTAAACATTTATCAGTTATTTTTTAATGAGTTACAAAACAGTATAAAGAACTGGGCCTGAATGAATGGATTTAAGATTATTTTTTAGTGTATTCTCCCAAATAGTCACAAACATCAAAATTTAAGCAAGGAAAACATCCATATTGAACAAATTTATATATTTTTTAACACCTACATTCAATTATATGGTCTGCTTATCCCCCGTATAGATCTTAAGCAATTTGTAATTAAAAATTCACCTGAAAATCTTTAGCAAAAATGAAAAAATAAAGAAGTAGGTCCTAAAAAGGGGGAGAGAACAGTTTTGCTCTAAGTTCTTAACTGAGGAAATTTACTGAAAAGGGGTGAGGAATTCCAGTTTGCTCTCCTGTGGCCAAGCAAGAAAGGGAAGGGGGGGCTCTTTAATGTTCGTTGTTCTGTAATAGGAAGTATACCTGTTGATAAGAAAAGAGGTTATTTCCCCCTGGTTTTCAGGGGAGTTTGTCACCTGAGTCTTTATGAACGACATTGAGCAATATAGTGGACAATTTTCACTGGCAATTTAGGAAAAATACAAAGGTATTCTACATATGGCTATTATACTGCTCTATAGAAAAATGCCAAAGGCATGATGTCATAATTCTGTCAAGGTAATTCTGTAGTAGATAAGGATCAGGAATGTGTAGTTCTGTAAACTGATGACAGTAGGATTAGAGTCTGGAGAATCCTGAGAAATTGTTAACATGTAGAGGAGAGCATTCCTCTTGAATAACAGTTGCTTCCCATAGGCTTTTGACAGGAAGCGTGTGATAGATACATGTTAAAATAGTTACCAAGGTTTATTAGATACCCAGTGAAGCCCTTCCACCAAAGCCTCATCAAAAGACAGAAGTGCCACAATGCATTGTTTACAGGAGTTATGTTTTCCTGCTTCCTGGACTTGTTGCCTTCAGACAGGGCATCATTCATGCACTAAACGGTCATTCTTTCAAAGTACTAGTCTTCAAGGCTTTGGTATCCAGAAAACAGAGAGAGACCTAGTTGCAGTTGCTGGAGGTAAACAAATTGTCACCACCAACTCCACATGCCATCACTCAGGGCCTCTGAGGAGCCTTTTGAACGTAAACCTAATAAAAGTGTAAAGAACAGTCTGGAGAGTGGAGGAGAAAGTATTTGCAAGAAGGTGCGTGGGATGTAAAGGCATTAGGGCTGTAAAGAATTCTTATTACGCTGCAAATAGATGAAGAATGACTTCAGGCATCAGAGCAGGAGGAGTTAGGAATGAAGGGGGGTAGAAAATGAGCTACTTTAAGAAAGGATTGAGGAGTATTGCCTCATGACGGGGATAGGAATTTTAGAGCTAGACCTGTTTCCCGTTACCAGGAGAGACCACTGCCCCCAAAGTAACTATGTGTCAATTAGAGAATATACCGTGGTGGTGGTTTCACCTCTCAGTCCTTACAGCAGTGGTTCTTAACTGGAGTTGATTTTGCAACATTTGGCAGTATCGAGAAAATTTTTGGTTGTCACACAGAGAGGGAGCTTGTTCCTGCCACCTGGATGGTAGAGGCTGGGCATGCCGAATGTCCTACAATGCACAGGGCAGACCTGTATGACAAAGAGTTATCCAGCCCCAAACGTTGAAGATGCTGAGCTTGAGAAACCTTGCCTTAGAGTAACAAGTGTCCTGTTGTTCCTAGCTAGTAGTTTTCTGTGCATCAGAATCACTTGGAGTTTTAAAAAGTGTGACCCACCAAAAGAAAAATCTCTGGATATGAGGCGCAGGCATCTGATGTTTGTTGAAAGCTTCATAAGTGACTCAGATGCTACATGCATGACTGAGAGACAGATTTCGAAGGATAAACGACCTGGTTTTTTGTTATGTTAACATAGAATAATCAGTGAGATATAAAAGTGTCAAATTGTGTGCTGAGTCCCAATAATTTGCAAACTAGCACTATTTTATATTCTACTTTATTTTAATTTTGAGCTAAATTTTTTAGCACTTGTTCTATTTCGTAAGAGGATAACATTAAATCATTAAATTATACTTTTAAAATTTAAGCTAAAATCCCCTAGAACTGAGAAAAGTCCTTACTTGGATGACCTAATAAAATCTTGTTTTAGCTAATTCCCATACCCCTAACCCTGGGCTTTGCCCAGAAGTAAAAAAAAATTGAGTTACCCTTGGATAACTGTGGAGGGACCAGGAAAATGCATGAATTTGAGCAAACAGCTCAAATTTCTGGTCTCTTATGTCTGAAATGGACCCGAAATTTACATTTCCAAAGCCCCTTTTATCCAGGTGTCATAGAGCACTTAAAAATGTTTGTCATCAAAAGATCTGAGTGGTGTAGGCTGGTTCTCTCTCTTCAGGGGAGAAGCTGAGATGTAGAGTAATAAACTAGCCCAGGATGACCTGGCAAGAATCCCGCTCCAGGTCCAATGTTGGAATCGCTGAACTATAACTCCGTTCCGTGAACAAACTCATGATTTTTGTGTGTAATGCTATATAAAAATCTCAGTTTTAAGAATTGTTTGTTATGAGTTAGAGACTAAGGAGAAGCATGCTTTTTGCATTTCTGATTCTGGGTTTTTCAAAACTGAAATGGGCAAAGTCTTTTTTTTTCCTTAAAGAAAAGGTGATTTCTGTTACTACTTCATCAAGGAAGAAAGGAAACAGTCAAAAGCTATTAGTTTTACGTGTGCTGCTAGAAGTAAACATCCCGATTTGAATCTTTAAGTTGAAACAGTCCAAGGTCAGATACTGGAAGACAGGAAGGTGTTGTGGGTTTGTAGCAAGTGATCCGACAGTGCATTTAGGTTCTAAGACCTAGTTCCATCACCTGTATCTTGGCTTCAGTTTCCTATCAATGTAATAGATAATACCAAATATTTAATTTGTACAAGTTTATACTTAAAGGCTCTATGGGCTAGTATACACTTGGCAACTGTACCAGTTAGACTTTAGGGATGCCTACAAATTCTTAGACTGTTTGGGTAGCGTTTATTGTACTGTAGTGGCCATTTTCTCAATGATTAAGATTGTGATGGTTTAAGTAATTCCTAGTGTTTAAAGTGCACCCACGATACAGATTTCTCAGCAGATAGGAATTGACGCTGTTTGTTTACAAAGAAAGATAATGTTTCTGTATAGTTTTGCGCTTTGATTCAGGGTGTTTTTCAAAGCACAGTGGCAAATGGGCCACATTTGAGAAATAAGGATGCTTTTCATAGTACATTGAACTGATTTATACAAACTTCATAGTGTATCCAGTTTAAGGATGAACTCTGACTTTCTTAGCAATGTTATATATTAGAGAAAAGACTGGCTAAAATTGTCTTAACTGATAAATTCTTTATTTCTAATTACATATTGTATAATATGAAGATTAAAAAATCTTGTTACTGATTTACTCTTAATAGCTATTTGCTTCTAAAAAACAGTATTTGGTGATGTTTAATTTAATTTGGGGCTTAGTGGATTTTGTGTCCACGACTCCTAACGTAGTTCTCTGGGCAGAGCATAGGTTATTGAACCAGGGCAAGAGTTCTCACATAGCAGAATCACCTGGTTGTCTTAATAAAAAAGAGGTTGCTGCCTGCCCCCTCCACCCCCGAGTTTCTGATTCACTAGTTCTGGGGAGAGGCCCATGAGTGTACATTTCTAACAAGTTCCCAGATGCTGCTGATGCTGCTGATGTGGGAACCCCACTTTGAGACCCACTAAACTAAGGTGACCAAGAAAACTGCTGCAATTACTTGAGCATGTGACAGGATCATACTTCCAATTTTTGGTGTGCCTCTTAAAAATTACCATCTTAATATTACACCTTTGTTCTTAGTGTATTTTTCACCAAAATTACAGAGTAAATTTTCGAGCGATTTTGGTAATGGATATTATTAATAAATTTGGGGAGGTTAAATAGAATGCTGAAATTAAACCATGTAAGTAGCAAAAGTACATTTTAAATTCTGAATTCTAACAGTCTGATTACTAGTTAATCAAAGAAATAGATACTTAAGTGTTTTTTTCATATGTATTATACTGATGAACATTTTCATCAGGGCCTGGGCTCTTGCCTTTGGAAAGGTGGAAAAGAGCTTTTCCAAAGGAACTGAAATGGTGGTTTATCATTTTAATTTTACCACTTCACCTAGTTTTTCTCAGGCAGATTTTTTGAGTCCAAGCTTGGTTGTGTTTCTGTCCAACTTTATTTCAAAGTTCAGAACTTGACTCTAAACATTCCGCACCAAGTAGTGACTAATTTGTCTGAAAAGTACAGCATCGTTCTATGTAGTAGTCAAAGTAGGTATTGGCAGATCATCTGCTCTCCTAGGTGACAGGATATGGCAAGAGAAAATGAACCCAGAAAATAAAAAGAAGGATAACGAAATGCAGATGCCAGTGCTTTCTGCAGCTTGCCATATCCCCAGTTTGGAGGATAGAGGAAAAGGCAGCACACTTACTATAATCTCTTTCTAATGAAATCCATGGAGCACATGTATTTTCTTACTGTTTCAGCCAGAGGTGTGTTGCTATTCCTGTTTTTAGTAAAGAGAGATAATGATGGTTTATTTCGTAAATGACAAAAGGAGAATGATTGCTTCCTGCTGCTTAATAGCAGAACCAGTCAGGCAGAGAACCTCTTTCCTCCCTTCCCTGAGAAGAAGCCCTCATGTTACATGCTGTGTGGATTTGGCCGTACTTGAAACTGGATAAAGTTCCTATTCTATAAGTTTATGTTCTCTAACTTCTGTGAATGGTTACTGTAATGAAGAGAATGTACTTCATATTTTGCTGTGTGTTTTGTTTTTATTTTTTAGGAGAAGACTGATGTGGAAGGAACCTTATTTGTTTACACAAGGTAAGAGTATTTTACTTTCATAACTGGCATTCTTTGAAATAATATTTTAGCTCAATTGTGTCACTCTTCTTTGAGTGTTGTTTTATTTCAAAGAGAAGTAAAGAACTGAATCTTAGTTTGAAGTTATTCGTTGATGTAAGGGAGGGATTACTGAATAATGTCACCTGGTGGAGTGTGATGAATACTAATTTCAGAATATAATTTAAACTTCAATGTAGATGAACTTAAATCTTTGTGTTCTTTTTAAAATAGTATTAAATATTTACTCTTTAATTCAAATGAATGGTGCAAAGTTCTTGATATAATGCATTGGCTAGGAACTAGAAGTACACTATTAAGACTATTAGATTGTTTAATCAATATTTGGAAAATAGTATAATTGGTCACCTCCCCTGCCCCGACCCTTCGCTCTAAAGAAGCGTGATCCAAAACTAAAGATGTCTTTGAGACCTTAATTGTCTAGATAATAGGATATATTTCAGGATAGATCTAATAAATTCATGTTATTAGTAATTTTTATCAGATATTGTTAATATCACATGCACACAGAGATGTATAGTATTTATATTGTCTTAATACCTAAACTATCTTAAGGAGATTTACATAAAATGTCATAGCTAAAGTCTGTCACCATCAGTGAGAGTGCAAAGATAAACTGCAGAGGCTTCGTACAACCCCTTCTAGGGCTCACAGTGTGATTGGGGAGACAGAAAATGCACACATGCCCCCACACACGCACAAGTATATGTTTTTTACACATAGCATTTCATGTTTAAAGATAAAACATAATATAGATAGACAGTTGGTAGGTTATAAACAGTGAATGGTCTGCTGTGATTGTGGAAGGCTTTACAGAATGGGTGAGTCTTGAGCAGGCCTCAGGAGTAAGGTAAAACTCAGCCTGCATTGAGGAGAGGGAAGGGCAGTCTGAGTAGGAAGAGTGGGATAAGTAGAGCTGTAGAACCTAGTGTATTAAAGGGACAGTAAGTAAAATGACTCTGGTGCAGAGGGCTCGTATTGGTTTATATTATTTAGAAGTTGACAATAAAGGTGAAGAGATTTTGCTGGCTTGGAATGTGTTAGACTAAGGATTTTGAAATTTATTTTCTTAGCAGTAGGGAGTCATTGAAGGTTTATGAACAGAGAAGTAATAGAATTATGACAAAATGTATGGGGGAGGTCAGTGTATGAGCATTATAAGGATGCATTGGTTCTAGAAGAAACTGGAGTTAGGGAGGACATTAAGAAGATGATTGCAGGGCAGTAGATATGAGATGATAAAAGATGGACTGGAATGATAGAAGTTGAAATGAAAAGGATTTATTGAAAGAATGCATGTAAAAGGGGAAGTGTGAAATTTTAAAAATAACATTAAGATTTTGAAATAGACTGAGAGAATGAGAAAATCATTCATGAATGGAAAGATAGGAGGTGAAGAATCTTGTCTGAGGATAAGTTTTAATTTTATTTTGAAATAATGATTTTGGAGTGATAGGGCATTCAAATAGAGATGCTCAGCTGCTCAGGATAGAAAGGGTCAGGGCTGGAGGTAGAGAGTTGGGGGTCATCTTCCTTAATTTATTCATTGAAACCATGAGAGAAAAAGTGTTCTCTGAAGGAGAGGAAACTGATGAGGGCTGATGATTGCATTTTCAGGCCAGCAAGGATACAGAAAAGAGTCAGCCATAAAGATAGAAGCAGAACTAAAACACTACAAAGAGGCCAGTTGCGGGCACAGTGCAAGAATGGTGGAAGTCTATGTGCGTAGCTGGAGGGGGAAACAGCAGTAGGAGTGGAAAGAAAAGAGTGGATGAGTGAGGCCGTCAGAGTAGGTAATGAGGAGGTCAGTTTATTCACAGTTTCAGAAAAGTGTTGATAGTGCCCAAGAGTCATTGGCTGTGTTAGTTTACATTATGTTCCAAAATATTCCAAAAGCACCAGAGCACACCACCAAGTGAGTTTATTCAGTATAGACTGCTCTTAAGAATTCTGAAATGTGAAAAGAAAACCAAACGATTGAAGTCTACTGTGAGCTAAGCACACAATATGTGTTCTCATTCATTTCTTACAAGTATTATTCTTTTGAGACGTGAAAGAAAAGATATATTAATATGCATTAATGATTTATTTTAAGGATTTTTAGTAGGGTTTTTTTTTTTTTGAGTACAGAATAGTGGCAGATTATACAAGTGTTTTCTCTTTTGTTCCCAAACCAAATGTCGGTTTGTATTTTCAAGTACTTCTTAATATATTCTGAGTTCTTAATGGAGCTGTCAATTAAACAAACCATTAAATTGAGAAACAAATCCTTCCTTACTTGTTAATCTCTTCCCCAAATCTAACTTCTCAAGAACCGGAGTGCTACCTCCACCCCTCCCC